TAGCAGCAGCCCTGATCCCCCCTCCCCCCTCCTTCCTTCCCCCTCCCCCCTTCCTTCCCCCCCTCCCCCACCCACCTGGCGCAGGGGTTTGTAGCAGCAGCCTTGGCCCCCCTTCCCCTCCCTCCCTCTTTCCCCACCCCCCCTCCCTCTTCCCCCTTCTCCCCCTTTCCCTCCCTCCTTCCTTCCCCCCCTCCCCCTTCGCCCCCTCCCCACCCACCTGGCGCAGGGGTTGTAGCAGCACCCTTGCCCCCCCCCTTCCCTCCCCCACCCGCCTGGCGCAGGGGTTGTAGCAGCAGCCTTGGCCCCCCTCCCTCCTCCTCCATCCCCCTTCACCCCCTCCCCCACCACCTGGCGCAGGGGTTGTAGCAGCAGCCTTGGCCCGCGAAGAAGGCCTCCCCGTCCTCCTTCCCCTCCCTCCTCCACCCCCTCCCCCACCCACCTGGCGCAGGGTTGTAGCAGCAGCCTTGGCCCCGCGAAGAAGGCCTCCCCCCTCCTTCCCCCTCCCTCCTCCACCCCTCCCCCACCACCTGGCGCAGGGGTTGTAGCAGCAGCCTTGGCCCCCCCCTCTCCTTCCCCCCCCCACCCACCTGGCGCAGGGGTTGTAGCGCACCCTGGCCCCCCTCCCCTCTCCTTCCCCTCCCCCACCCACCTGGCGCAGGGGTTGTAGCAGCAGCCTTGGCCCGCGAAGAAGGCCTCCCCGTCCTCCAGGCTGTCCGGCAGCTTCTGGTCCAGCGTCTCCGGCAGGAGGACGCACACGAGGCCGCCCACGACGGTCACCACGCCCAGGATGGTGTACGGGAGGAAGTGGCCGAACTTGGACTGCGGGCGGAAGGAGGGAGAGGAGATAAGGCGAATAAAAGGGACATACGGAGAAGGAGATAGGGCGAATAAAAGGGACATAAGGAGAAGGAGATAGGGCGAATAAAAGGGACATAAGGAGATGGAGATAGGGCGAATAAAAGGGACATACGGAGAAGGAGATAAGGCGAATATAAGAGACATACGGAGAAGGAGATAAGGCGAATAAAAGGAACATACGGAGAAGGAGATAAGGCAAGTAAAAGGGTCATAAGGAGAAGGAGATAAGTAGAATAATGGGAATATAAGGAGAAGGGATGTTGCAAGAATGAATGAATAAATAAATGAATGAATAAATATTTAGAATAGAAATAAAAAAAAAAAAAAATCATTATGATGATGATAATTCAATTAATAGCGATAATGATGATAAAGAAACGGACAACAACAGCAAAGGCAGTTATGATAACATGATAATGATATAACGAATCATAATGATAGTTATGAATCAAAGACAATAACCTTTGAAAGGAGAGTTGGATTAGATTTATATTCATCAGAGAATATCTTAACAAAGCACCAAGTAAGTTTCGATTTTGATTATAATACTCCAAGACTGGAATGACACATTTTTTAATTCAAATTTCGCGCTAGGGGCAGTGACGTCATCAAGGTTTCCCGCGTTTTATTTTCTTTTCTTTTTTTGTGGAAATCAATTTTGTGTTCCCGCGTTTTTTTCTTTTTCTCTTTTTTGTGGATTTCAATTTTGTGTCTGAGGTCGGGTGTACTTTACTTGCAAATTTCGTGATTTTAGTTGTAACAGAAAATCAATTTGTTGACAACAATCATAAGATGATAAAATAACGGCCATCAACTTAAATTTAAGGTATAGAAAACGGAGACGAGAGCGAAAGAAAACGGAAGAGGGAGATATAACCTAAACAATCAAAACCAAATTAAATCAAATATGAAACAATGAAAAAAAAAATAATAAAAATAAGATTAAATTAAGTAATAAGAAAATAGGAGAAGAAACAAACAAACAACAAAATGATTAAAGGAAGAATCAAGTACATTTAAAAAAAAATTCAAATCGATACGACAACGACCGAAATCCCTCATTATCTATCTATCTACTCAACTTCTTCAATCAATTCATCTATTCTTATCAAGGTGAAAATGTCTTTGAGAAACTGATGGTGACTGATAAGCAGACGGACACTTTGACAGGTCAGTAAATGGTAATTATTTTGAATATAAAGAAGCGTTTCGGACACGGGGGCTTTCGGCAAGGTCTTGGAAGAAATGAAGTAAGAAAAGATAAGAAGAAAGGAGGAAGAGGAGGAGAAGAAAAAGATGAAGGAGAAGAAGTGATGAAAAAGGGAGGAGGAAGAGGAGGAGGAAGCGAAGGAAAGGAAGAAGAGGAGGCGAAGAAATAGAAGGAGCAAGAGGAGGAGAAGGAGAAATAGAAAGGAAAGGAATAAATTGAGAAGGAGAAGGAAATGCCGCAGGAGGCGGAGGAAGGAGGTCATGGAGGAGGAGGAGATGATAAAGGTAATAATAACAAGAAGAAGAAGAAGGGGAATAATAATGATAATAACAAGACGAAAAAAGAAAGAAAAAAGAACTAGGAGGAAGGGGAGAAGGAGAACAGAAAAAAGGAGAAGAAAAAGGAAAGATGAAAGAGAAAAACAAAATGAGGAGAAAAACGATAGATAATAAACGGAGGAGGAGGAGGACAGAAGACAATGAAGAAACTATAGAGAGACGTAGAAGAAAAAAGGAGAAAGAGAACAAAAATGAAGAAAAGATCAAAAGATCAAAAATCTGAAGAGGAAAGGGAGAAGAAAAAGAACAAAAGAGACAAAAAAGAGAAGAAGATAAAGATGAGGAGGACAACACAACGAAAATCACAAAAAACATTCACGCAAGAAGAATAGAAGAAAAAATGGGACATAACAAAGAAAGAAACGAGAAGAAAAAGTAAAAGATACGATGATGAGGAAGACAACATAAAAAGAAAAACACAATATATTCATACAGGGAAAATAGAAGAAAAAAAAGAAGATAACAAAGTCAAAAAGACAACAACAGCAACAACAACAAAACGAGAAGAGTAGAAGATAAAGATGAGGAAGACATAAAAAGAAAAACACAAATATTCACAAAGGGAGAATATAAGAGAGAGCAAAGAAAAAAAACAAGCAATAATTATGATAATAATAGTAAAAAATAAAAAATAAAGAATAAATAAACATAAACAAACAGAAAAAATAATAACATCAAAAATAAAAATGATCAAACAAATAGACAAAAAAACAACAACAACAAAATCGAAAGAAGCTTTTGAATCGATTTTCTGTCCGTAGACACAAAGGCTCAGCGACGGGGTCCTCAGAGCACACTTCGACTCACAACTCCATAATTCCGACTCATATAATGGTGAGTCACTTGCGGTGCGTGACTCACTCATCGAGGACTCATCGGGGAGAGAATGGGTGAGTCAGGGAGTTTGGTTGGGATTCGGGATGCCGTGGAGAGTGAGTAACTTGTGAGTAAATTGGTTGTGTGTAAATTGGTTGTGAGAAAGTTGGTTGTGAGGAAGTTGGTTGTGAGTAAATTGGTTGTGAGTAAGTTGGTTGTGAGTAAATTGGTTGTAAGTTGGTTGTGAGTAAATTGGTTGTAAGTTGGTTGTGAGTAAATTGGTTGTGAGTTAATTGGTGATGTGTACCTTGGTTGTGAGTAACTTGTGAGTAAATTGGTTGTGAGTAACTTGGTTGTGAGTACATTGGTTGTGAGTAAATTTGTTGCGAGTTGAATGGTTGTGAGTTAATTGGTTGTGAGTAACTTGTGAGTAAATTGATTGTAACTTGGTTGTGAGGACATTGGTTGTGAGTAAATTGGTTGTGAGTTTAATTGGTGATGAGTAAGTAACTTGTGAGTAAATTGATTGTAACTTGGTTGTGAGTAACTTGGTTGTGAGTAAATTGGTTGTGAGTTTGGTTATGAGTAACTTGGTTTGTGAGTGAATTGGCTGTGAGTAAATTGGTTGTGAGTGAATTAGTTATGAGTAACTTGGTGTGAGTAAATTGATTATGAGTAAATTTGTTGCGAATTGGATGGTTGAGATAAAACGGAATAAAAGTGAGAACTGATGAAGGAAAACACACACAAATTCATTCTTCATCACTGACTCACTTAAGATCCACTCTAACTCACTCATTACTCACGATACAGAAACAAAGGAAACTGCAAATTCTTACCCACAATATCTACTCCTTCTTACTCATAATACCCACAATATCCACTTCCTCTTACTCACAATACCCACTCAAACTACCTCACCGTACCTACAGTACCCACACCCCGCATCCACTTCCTCACACCCTTTCACCCCAAAATACCCACTTCCATTCACTTCCCCCCTTCCACCCAAAATACCCACAATACCCACTCCCTCCCATCCACATCCACACACCCTTTACCCAAATACCCACAATACCCACTCCCATACCCACCACTCCCATCCACTTCCTCCCTCCTTTCACCCAAAATACCCACAATACCCACTCCCTCCTATCCACATCCACGCACCTTTTAAAAATACCCACAGTACCCACTCCCATACCCACCCGCTTCCATCCACTTCCTCCCTCCCTTTTACCCCAAATACCCAAAATACCCACTCCATCCACTCCTCCCTCCCTTTCACCCAAAATACCCACAACACCCACTTCCCTCCACTCACCAAATACACCACGTAAGGAGACACGAAAGCCGCTCCATATCCGAGCGTGTGGATAGCCCCGGACCCGGATCCCCGCGCCACTGTTGGCAGGACCTCGATCGGGTACTGTTGGCCCACGTTGATGGACATCGTGATGAGAAATCTGCCCGCAATTGCCAACGCTAGGATGACGTGTGTGTTGTCTGTGGGAGAGAGAGAGAGAGGAGGAATGTGAGTGAGAGAGGAATGGGAAGGGAGGAGGAGGAGGAGGGAGGGGGAGGAGGGGTGGAGGAGGGGAGGGGGAAGGGAAAGAAAAGGAGGCGGGAGGAGAAGGAAGGTGAGTGAAAGAGGAATGTGGAGGGGGAGGAGGAGGAGGGGGAGGAGAGGAGGAGGGGGAGGGGAGGAGGAGGGGAGGAGGGGTGGAGGAGAGGAGGAAGGAGGGGAAAGGGAGGAGGAGGAGGAGGGGGAGGAAGAGGAGGGGAGGGGGAAGGGAGGAGGAGAAAAAAAAGAGATGGGAGAAGAAGAAAGGAGAAGAAAGAAGAAGGGAGAGGAAGAAGAATGAGAAGGAGGTGTAAGAAACAAGATTATAGAGCAAAGGAGGAAGAGGAAGAGAAGAATGAGAATGATGAGGAGAAGGAGGAGGAATAATACTAATAATAATGATAATAATGATAAATAATAATAATATTAATAATAATAATAATAATGAATGATAACAATGATAATAATAATAATAAGAAGAAGAAGAAGAAAAAGAAGAAGAAGAAGAAAAGAGGGCAGAATGTCAAGAAGTCGAGGAGAGAAGTAGCGACGAAAAAAAGAAGAAAAAATAAACAAAAAAGAGTTAATTATGCGATATCTGATACTTTTCCAACCCTACAGTCCCTCCCCCCATGCCCCTCCCCTAGCCCCTCCCCCCCCGCTCTCCCCCCTTGCCCCTTCCCCCTCTACCTCGGCTGGAGAAAGGGCGGCTAGACCAAACAACACGGCCCATCACAGGCCTCTCTATGTGGGCGTGTGTCTCCTCCTCCTTCTTCCACTCTTCTCCTTATTCTTCGTTTCTTCTTCTCCTTCTTCTTCTTCTTCTTTTTCTTTTTTTTCTTCTTCTTCTTATTATTATATTTCTTCTATCTTTTTTTTTTCTTCTTCTTCTCTCTTTTCCCCTAATTCATGTTTTTATTTAGGTCTCGTCCTCTCTCTTTTTTCATCTCTTATCTCTTCTCTCACCCTTTCATTCTATCCTCCATTTTCGTATATAAACTCTTTTTCTCACTATCTCTTCCTCCTTCTTCCACCTTTATCCCCTCCTCCCTTTCTCCCCTCCCTCTCTCATCTACCCCCCTTCTCACCCTTCCCCGGGGGAATACAATACAACACCAAGGTTCACCCTGTTTCACCCTTTAAAATCCTCCTCCTCTCTGTCCTCTCTCCTCTCTCCCATCCCTCTCGTCTTTCATTCACCCTAAACCTTCTCCTTCTCTCTCTCCCTTTTCACTCTTTTCCCCTCACTCACTCTCTCACCAGAGGGAACAAAAATGATCATCGGAGACTATCATCCTTTTTGCATCCTAAACTTTCTCTTTTCTCATCCTTTCACACTCATCCACCCTTGCACCTCTCCCCTCATCCCTCTCTTCCTCCCCTCTCATCCTCACTCACCTGCCCTTCCCCTTTCACTCTCATTCCTCTCCTCTTTCCTTCCCTTCTCACTCATCCATACACTCCTCTCCCCCTCATCACTCTCCCCTCACTCCATCCCCCTCATCCACCCACCCACCCTTCCACCCTCCCTCCCACTTCCCCTCTCAACCACCCACCCTACCATATCTCCCCTCACCCTTTCCCCTCACTTCCCCACCCCACCCTCTCACTCCACATCTTCCACCCCTCCCCTAACCCTTTCCCCTTCCCCCTTCCCTCTCACCCACCCACCCCTCCCTCATCCACCCCTCACACCCCCTTTCCCCCCTCCCTCCCTTTTACCCTCACCACTCCCTCCCCCTTCCCTATCCCCTTCCCCTCACCCCTCCCCACTCACCCCTCCCTCTTCCACCCCTCCCCTATCCCCCCCTCCCTTCCACTCCCTCCCTCCCCTCCCCTCCAACCCCTCCCCCCCCACCCCTTCACCCTCCCCAACTCACCCGGCGGCACGGCAGCGACCCCGAGGCACAGCGCCCCGCCCAGCACAGCGTCCACGCCCGTCGTGTGCCTCCGGCCGAGCTTCTCCACCGCCACCATCGTCAGGAAGTCCGCCGGAGCTCCACGAAGCCGGCGAGGGTGAAGGTGGGCGAACACATTGGGGCCTATGTGCTCCGTGTTGCGGCATGTGGGCGTCGTAGGCGAGGATGATGACCATCCTGTGGTGGGCGTGAGGGAGTGGTGAAGGGGTGAGGTTGAGGGGTGGGAGGGGTGGGTGGGTGGGGGGGGGGGTGAGGGGGAGGGGTGAGAGGAGAGGGGGGTGAGAGGAGGTTGAAGGGAGAAGGAGGTTGAGGGGGGTTGGGGGAGGGGGAGGGGTTAGGGAGAGGGAGGATAGAGGGGAGGATAGAAGGAGGAAGAGGGAGGGAGGAGAGTGGGAGAGGGGAGAGTAGGAGAGAAAGAAGAGAGAGAGAGAGAGAGACACAGACAGAAGAAAGAAGAGAGAGAGAGAGAGAGAGAGAGAGAGAGAGACAGAGACAGACAGACAGAGAGAGAGAGAGAGAGAGAGAGAGAGAGAGAGAGAGAGAGAGAGAGAGAGAATAAGAGAGAGAGAGAGAGGAGAGAGAGAAGAGAGAGAGAGAGAGAGAGAAGAGAGAGAGAGAGGAGAGAGAGAGAGAAGAGACAGAGACAGAGACAGAGAGAGAGAGAGAGAGATGAGATGAGATGGAGAGTGAAGGGAGGGAAGAACACAGGGAGGTGGAGGAATAGAGGGTGGGATAGAGGAAGGAGAGATGAAGAGGGGGGGAAGGGGGAGGAGAGGAGAAGGTATTTTAATTATTGTTTTTCATGATGATATTGATGGTGAAAATTATCATGATGATAAACGTGTTGTGGAGAAAGAAAGTGCATTATATCATGATCATTCAGTAGCCATCATCACCATCATCATCATCATCACAGTCATCATTATGATTATCATTATCAGTATCATGATCACTATCATTATAATCATTATCACTACTACTATTGATACCAGTATGCTCTTGTTATCAGCCATTTTAATCATCATTATCATCACCATTATCATAATTATTATCATCCTTAGATATGTTAATCATCATCACTACCAGTATCAACCGATATTTCATTAGCACTTTAATCCCCACCCTCACCACTCACCACACCACCCTCACCACACTCACCACTCACCACCCTCACCATACACTCACCACATCCACCCTCTCACACTCACCCTCACCACTTCACCACCCTCACCATACACTCACCACTCACACTTCACCACACTCACCACTCACCCTCACCACTCACCATACACTCACCCACCACAAATCCCCACCCCTCACCACTCACACTCACCACCAAATCCCCACCCTCACCACTCACCACACTCCACCCATCACCTACACTCACCATCACCACTGCACTCACCCTCACCATACACTCAACCCTCACCCACCGCTCACCCCACCATACACTCACCACTCATCCTCACCACACTCACCACTCACCCCTCACCACTCACCACTCACCCTCAACCACTCACCCCTCATCACACTCACCACTCACACCCTCACCATCACCACTTAACACTCACACTCACACCTCACCACACTCAACCCTCACCACACTCCACCCATCACCCATACAACTCACCACCGCTCACATACCACTCACCACTCACGCTTTCATCACACTCACCATCCCTCACCACTCCGTACCACCCTCAGCCACTCACCACCTCACGACTAGCACTCACCCCTCAACCACACTTACCTCACCATACACTCACCTCACCCACACTCACCCTCACCATACACTCACCACCCTCACCACTAACCACTCATCCACGCACCACCCTCACCATACACTCACCCTCCACACCACTGTACAGCCCACTCACCAGCACTCGACCACATTGAGGGCAGAGGACGAGGAAGCGGCGGCCTCAGCACAGGCGTCTTGAGGAGGGCCGTCACGTTGACCTCCCTCTTCTCGTCTTCTCGGCCTGTTTCCATCCGTAGGCCTATGGTGGGGTGGCGGGGGACTAAGGAGGGTTGGTTAGATTCCTTGGAAGTATTTTTTGTCTGTCTGTTCTGCTTTACATAATGTAGCTTGTTTGTTCTCTGTCTTGCTTTTTTGTCTGTCTGTCTGATTTCTTACATTGTTTTTTCATCTACTTTTCCTTTCTTTCGCTCTCGTCTATCATCTCTTTCTCTGTCTGGCTGTTCTCTCTCTCTCATCTCTCTACTCTGGCTCTCTCTCTCTCTCTCTCTCTCTCCATCTCTCGTCGCTCTCTCTTTCGTCTTCTCTCTCGCTCCTCTCTTCTCTTTCTCTCTCTCTCTCTCTCTCTCTCTCTCTCTCCTCCTCTCTGCTCTTCTCTCTCTCTCTCCTCTCTTTCTCCTCGTCTCTCATTTTATATGTCTATCTTTCTTTCTTTCTTTCTGTCTTTTTATCTTCTATCTATTTATTATCTTATCTGTTACCTCTGTCATTTATGTCTATCTATCTATATCTATTTCCATCTTTGTCCTAATCTCTCTGTCTATCTCCTATAATTCGTAAACTCCCCTTCCCTATCCCACCTTCCTTCCTTGAACCTCTTCTTTTTTTCTTCCTTGCGCCCTCCATTCCCCCTCTATCTCCCCCTCCCCTCCTCCCATTACCGTTGAACTCCTCTTCCCACCCCCGTCTCCCTTCTCTTTTCTCCCGCTCCCTCTCTCCCCCGCCTGACATTACCGTAAGCAAACAGTCCCTTCCACTGTTCTTACCGTTGAACCTCCCCTCTATATCTCACCTCTCCCTCCTTTCCCCCCTCCTCTGTTCTTCCTCCTTGAACTCCATCTCTCTCCCTCCCTCTCCCCACACCCAGTCCCTTCCTCTTCTACCTCTCCTCTCCCCCTTCCCCCCTTACTCACTCCCCCCCCCCTTACCTTGAAACTCCTCCCCTCCTCATCCTCCCTTCTCCTTCCCTCCCTTTCCTTTTCCCCTACCCCTCTTCTTCTTCCTCCTCCCCCTCCCTTCCTTTTCTCTCTCTCCCTCTCCCTTCCCTCTCTTTCCCTCCCTCCCCTCCCCTTCCCTCATTCCCCCTCTCCCCTCCCTCTCTCCTTTCCCTCTTCTTCCCTCCCTCTCCCTCCCTTTCCCTCCCTTTCCCCCTTTCTATCTCCCTCCCTTTTCCCCTTTACATCTCTCCCTCGCCTCCCTTCCCTCTCCCTCCCTCCCTCCCTCCCCCCATCCCATCCCTCCCCTTCCCTCCCCTCCCCCTCCCCCCCCCCCCCCTTACCCTTGAACTCTCTCACGACGACCTGCGTCCGAAAGCGGCTTCTTGTTGACCCTCCCGGCTTTCTTGAGGATGGCGACGGCGTCTTCAACTCTCCCTTGACTCAACAGCCATCTCGCTGACTCAGGGACGATCCTGTGGAGGGCGAGGAGTGAGTGTCTGAAGTCGAGGTGCACGCTTTCGAACGCGGGCTTGGGTGCATCATATGGTTAGGTAGGTTTGTCTGTGTTCGTGTTCGTGTGTTTGTGTTTGTGTGTTCGTGTTCCGTCGGTCCTGTGTGTTTCGAAGCCCTCATCTTGTGTTATTGAGTTATTGTGTTAGTCGGGGATGGGAGGGGAAGGTATTGATGTGTAATGTGTGTGTGTTGTTTGTGTTGTTTTGTTGTGCGTGTGTGTTGCTGTGAAACCCTGCTGTGTGTGTGTGTGTGTGTTGTGTGTGTGTAGTTGTGGTTGTGTGTGTGGTGTACACTTGTGTGCCATAGAGCGTGTGTGTGTGAAGCCAGCCAAATATTGTAGGTGTGTTGTGTGTGGTGTATGATGTGCACTGCCAGGAATAAGCAACCAGTGTGTGTGATTATGTCGTGTGTAAGTCGTAATAAAAGAGAAATAAAAAATAGTACAACAAGTAGGATCTATGAATATACAATACCGAGACACAAGAATCTTGATTAAGAAAGAGAATAAACAAAGGAGGATAGATAAGGGAGACTTATCTTTTATGTATGTTAACAGATAGATATTGGGAAGATGGAAGAAGTGAGTGAGAGAGGAAAGAGAGATCGAAGAAGAGAGGTATGAGACTCCAAGAGATGAGTAAGAGAGAGAGAGATAGAGAGAGAACAGATGGCGTGCCTGCGATGCTGACCGCGCAAGAGAGGGTCGGAGAGTCGAAGATGAGAGAGAGAGAGAGCGAGTGAAGGAGATAGGAGAAAAAAGAAGAGAAAGACCGTAGAGAGAGAATGAGAGATGATGATATATGATCCGAGAGAGACGAAGCGATAGAGATACATGACTGTGGAGAAAAGACAAGCAGATTAAAAGAATAGGCAGAGAAGCAGAATCGACAAAATCAAACACAACACAGAAAAATAGTAAAAACAGACAATGAAGAAATAAATAAAAGAGAGAGAGAGAGGGAGAAAGAGAGAGAGAAACAATAAACATACAAAATCACAGATAACCGCCAGCAACCCACATCCAGACAAACACACCACCAAACACTCTACCACAACCACCATGCATCCCACACACACACCATACATCCCAAATAAAATCAAATAATAAAAAAAATACAAAAATAAGTCACCCACGTCCTTTTCTCACCATATAAAAGTGACACACGACAGCTTTGCGGCAGGTACGATGGCGAAGGTGAAGAACCCTCCATTGGCCCAAGGGCGACAGCTAGCCAGGGCAAGAGCACAACATGGCAGACCGTGAGGAAGATCATTATGGGTACATTGGCCATGATGGTTCGGTACTTGCTCGACAACGTATCTCCAGGACTGTGTTGGAGTGGGGGTGGAGTGGTTTTTGGGTGGAGGGGGAGAAAGAGAGATAGAATGTGGGTGGTTTTTTATTTATTTATTTTTTTTTTTGGGGGGGGTGTTCGGGGTGGGGGTGGAGTGTTTTTTGGGTGGAGGGGGAGAAAGAGAGATAAGAAATTTGGTGGTAATGATTTTTTTTGGGGGGTGTCGGGTGGGGGTGGAGGGGGAAGAAAAGAGAGATAAGATTGTGGGTGGTATGATTTTTTTTATTTTTTTTTTCTTTTTGGGGTTGTTTTGGAAGTGGGGAGTGGAGTGGTTTTGGGTGGAGGGGAGAAAGAGAGATAAGATTGTGGGGTGGTATGATTTTTTTTTTTTTTTTTTTTTTTTGGTGTTGGAGTGGGGGTTGGGTGGTTTTGGGTGAGAGGGGAGAAAGAGAGATAAGAAATTGGTGGGTTGGTATAATTCTTTTTTTTTTTTTTTTTTTTTTTTTGGTGTTGGAGTGGGGGTGGAAGTGTTTTTGGGTGGAGGGGAGAAAAGAGAGATAGATTGTGGGTTGGTATGATTTTTTTTTTTTTTTTTTTTTTTTTGGTGTTGGAGTGGGGTGGAAAGTTGTGTTTTGGGTGGAGGGGAGAAAAGAGAGATAAGATGGTGGGTTGGTATAAATTCCTTTTTTTTTTTTTTATTTTTTTTTTTTGGGTGTTGGAGTGGGGGTGGAGTGGTTTTGGTGGAGGGGAGAAAAGAGAGATAAGAATTGTGGGGTGGTATAATTTTTTTTTTTTTTTTTTTTTTTTTTTTGGTGTTGGAGTGGGGGGTGGAGTGGTTTTGGGTGGAGGGGGAGAAAGAGATGATAAGAATTTGTGGGTGGTAAGATTTCCATTTTTTTTTTTTTTTTTTTTTTTTTGGTTGTTGGAGTGGGGGGTGAGTGGTTTTTGGGTGGGAGGGGGAAGAAAGAGATAAGATTGGTGTGGGATGGTTTATAATTCTGTTCCTTTTTTTTTTTTTTTTTTTTTTTTTTTTTTTTTTTTTTTTTTTTTTTTTTTTTTTTTTTGGTGTTGAGGTGGGGGGTGAGTGTGGTTTGGTGGAAGGGGTGGAAGAGAAAGAGAGATATACAGATTGTGGGTGGTAAATGATTTTTTTTTTTTTTTTTTTTTTTTTTTTTTTTTTTTTTTTTTTTTTTTTTTTTTTTTTTTTTTTTTTTCTTTTTTTTTTTTTTTTTTTTTTTTTTTTTTCTTTTTGGTGTTGGAGTGGGGGGTGGAGTGGTTTTGGGT